CAGGCAGCGAGTAGCGCCAGGCTGCCCCCTGGCAGCAGCGAGGTATCAGCAGAGACCATCCCAGCAGCGAAGGCCGAGGTTTCCGTGCTTGGATGCCCACAGTTAGACCCCCTGCCCGTGCTTCAGTCACCGCCATTAAAGCTGCTGGACACTGCAGATGAGCGGGCTACTTCAGGTGCCTAGGCTGTACAAGCCCAGCACTGAGGATGCTCGTTGGCAGCGTCTGTGTGTCTAAGTCCTCGTCCTGGGGAGGCGAAGAGCAGTGGGCTCAGAGAGCGAGGCTGGCTGTGCAGAGGTTGCCTGTGCAGCTCACTGTCAGTACGTAGGGTTTGAGTTGCAGAGAGCCTGGGAGCAATTCCCTTTGCTTTAGTTCTCCATGGCCTGCAATCCCCCGGAGAAAGTTTCTAACTGGTCTTCCACGTGGCAAGACTCCTTGGGAAAAGTAGTTTTAGCTGGCTGCGGGGGGCCTGAGCTGGTTGCAGTTCAGTAAAATTGATTTGAATTTGTCTGGCAGAGCTGAGCCTGGCAGAGTCTGTGCCCTACCTTGAGAGCCCACTGTCTCCTCTGGAGTTTCATCGGGAATGGGTATGTCCAAACAGGCCCTGCATCATTCGCAACGCCTTCGATCACTGGCCAGCTCTGAAGAAGTGGACGCTGCCCTACCTCAGGTAGGAGTTGCTTTCGAAAGTAGCCTGTAGCTGGTTGATTGCTTGGACCCTTAGGAGAGAGCTGTTTGCTGTTTGTTTCTATTGGTTAGGCTGGGGGCATGCCTGAAGTCCTTCTCTTAGGATACCCTTGTGCAAAGGCCCAGCATTCAGGTGCAGCTCCCCTGAGCTGCTGTGTTGTGGTACCTTGAGGGGGTTCATTCAGGGAAGTGGAAGATTTCATTTGTGTGGAGAGAAGTAAGGGAGACCAACAGGAGAAGGGAAAAACGTGCGGAGTGCCCTGATCAAGACTACAGTAGATAAAGCACTGTCCTTGTCCCCATTACCCCTTCAGCACCAAGTGGCCCATACTGCACACCATGTAACAGTGACATACGAGCAGTAAACATGTTAGAATTTCGTCCTCTAAGTTGCAATGGGGCTGTCTGTGGCAGCAGTGTTGGTAGTGCTGTGTGAACAGGCCTGGGGAGCTGTGGTTAGGATTATTAAAATAACCGCACGCAAGTCCTGTTAAAGGTACACAGCGAGGTGCAGTACGTAAATGGCTAGAAATGTTCTGATAGCCAAGAGAGAAGGGTTCTGGCTGCATCCAAACAGCAGATTGCTGTTTTGAAAAATTGCTGCTGAGATCTGACATGTTTGCTCGCCATGGGTCCTCGCATGGCTGTGAACCTCGGATATATTTTGCAGGGAGGTAATGGGCTCCAAGGCGGTGAGTGTGGCTGTAACACCAAATGGCTATGCCGATGCAGTTTATCAAGACCGGTTTGTTATGCCAGAAGAGCGACACATACCTTTCAGCAGCTTCTTGGACATCGTGGAGAAGAAAGTTACATTGCCTGGTGTCTTCTATGTGCAGAAGCAGTGTTCAAACCTAATTGAGGAGTTCCCTGAGCTCTTGGGTGATGTGGAGCCTGACATACCGTGGATGAGTGAGACACTAGGTAAGGAAAAAAAACAAATATGCTAAATATTGTTTGTTATATTTTTGATTACTGCGGTTTATCTCAAGAAGGAGTGTTTACACAATAGTTTAACCTGGCCTTTTGATTTGGCCTGCTCCAAAATTATTGCCCTACATGCATTTTGGACTTAGCTGTTATAGTAGTCTACAGAACTTTTGTCTATATAGTGGGTAAAATGCTGGCTGTCTCCTGTTCTGATCTCATGTACCCTGTATGAAACTGAATTGGTAATAGGGAGGTTGTGACTTTTTTGAGACCATTAGAGCATTTAAGGTGTCCTACCGTGGTTCCTGAAGCATGAGTTTGAGTCCTGCTTTGGACTTATGGCCCCTGTAACCTATCTGTAAATTGGTAACTAGTCATATGAGCAAAGGGAGTCAAAGGTAGCAAGACATGATTCTAGCCACATCAATTCTTTATGTTGGGTGCATAAGTTGGACAATAGCCTAGAGCAGTGGCACCACGGGCCTGTGGGGCTCTCCACACATCTGGAAATTTGGCAGTTGGGAGTGGTAGCAGTATTATTTTCCATGGCTCTGGGAGACACGTAGCAATTAGTGCTTCCACTGCTCCCGTGTTGCTAAATTTTTTGACCTATGGGGAGTCCCACAGGCCAGATGGCATGGTTGGATTAGGCCAGCCTATGAGGTCTGTCCATGACCAGACATGATGTGCAGCCCTGGATATGGTGCACAGGATTGGACCTGGTATGCAGGTTTGAGACCCAGCATGGGACATTAGTTTGTGGCCCTGGATGTGACACAGCACAGGTCCCCAGCCAGAGCCATCATGTGGGGTCAGGCCCAGTGTGTGACCCCAGACGTAGCGCACAAAGTTGTTTTGTAGACTGGATATAGCTCACAGATGTGGCTCCATGAGCTGGAGCTGGCCCATGGACTGTCTGTGCTCTGCTCATCCAGCCAGTGCCCCTTGGGATGTTATAAGTGACATTTCTGCATTACTACATAACTAACAAGGATGGGGCCTGCTAGCTGGATCTGACCTATGAAGCCCTGAGATCCAGCCCGTCAGTCTAGGACTGACCCTGTGCGCCACATGTGGCACATGCTGGCCCCTTGCAGAGCTGTTTTGGCATGAACTACATATGGTGTCTGTACCAACCAGCCTTGCATGCTAGCTCCAGGGCTAGATCAGGCCCACAGACCATCCCTGCATGCTACGCAGGGCTGGTCCAGCATGGGTGCCTCATGTAACACATGCCCTCTGCTGGCGTGCTAGCTGTGTGTAGCATGAGCTCTGGACCAGGGCTGACATGTGCTACATGTAGCATATGATGCTGGACCCAGCGTGGAAATTGGTGCACAAAGCTGAGTTGGGGCACTGCATGGGGCACCCTGCCAAACTGGCCCTGTATGCTGGCTCCTTGGCTGGTCCGGATCAGGCTCACAGACCGGCCCCACACACCAGAGCCAGTGTGCAGAGCCAGTCTGGTGTGGATACTTCATGCAGGCACACCCCATGCTGACTCTATAAGTGAGCCCCTGACTAGTGCCTGTGCATACTACATGCAGCTGGCAGTGGTGGTCCAGGGCATACACTGAATGAGCTTCCATGCTGAGCTGGCCCTGAGTCCTTGCTCTGGTGTATGGAGTTGGTCTGTGGACCCAACCTGGTCTGCAGACTGGCCCTGCGGAGCTGGCTGAGTTTAACACCCCTGTAGTAATGGATTGCTGAATTTGCATGACTGGCCTGATAGTGATGTAAATTCCTCCTGTCAATGGGAATGTCGCAGTCCCTTTGGAATTAAGGTACACAGATGTACAGAAGTTTGAGATTTGAGCTAGGGCTTTTATATCCAAGTCTCCAGGAAGTGAAAGTTATGGCTATGGTCATTATCTGTAGGGATGAATATGAATAGTGTTCCATTAACAGGTCAAATGGGTTAGTGCAGTAGACCTAATTCTGGAAGGAGGTCACAGTTGTATTCAGGTTATTAGCAATAAAGACTGACATTTTTACTGAGGGTGATGGAGGATAGATGCAAAACAGAGTTGGCAGGAAGTTCTTCTTTTCAGATTCTTTAAATGTAATAGTTCAATTCTATTGTATTGTATTGTTTCTTTTGTAAGGTCTTACCTCCTCTCTCTCTGCAGGAAAAAAGCCTGATGCTGTGAATTTCTGGCTTGGGGAGTCTGGTGCTGTGACATCCTGTGCGTATTAAATGGTGCTGTCTGGTCTTTCACGTGCTCTCAGTCCAGATTTTGACACACTTTTTTGAGGGCATAACAGGATGGGTAGGCATCACCCATTTGTTTTGATAGGAGGTTAAAATAGAACCTCCCGATTTTGTGAAGACCTTTGTCTTCACCTACCCCTCCTCAGCCTCTAACTGCTGTAGTCCTACATGTATGTTCCTTATGTTGTTCCAGGTAGGGTACTGAGGGTTTCTCTCCTCTATGTTTTAGAGATTGGCTTGAAGTGAAGTATTTGTATTTCACTCTCATGTATGGTGCCAGCTAATCACTGTAACAGTCGAGAAGAATTTCCTCTGTCATGTAGAATATTGCACAATTAATAGCATTATGGGTATTTTCCTCTTCCTCTGAATTTTCAGTTACTTACAAATGCCCTTTGTTAAGGTAGGCACTGGATTCATTAAATCAGTGGTCTGAGATTGCCATCTACTTTCTGTATGGTTGAGTGCATAACAGAGCA